TGTACGCGAATCACGTGAGATTCACCGTGGTCATCCCTATATAGAGCGTCTACCGACGCTCTGATATCGCCCACTTCTGGAGCCACTTCCTCAAACCAACATTAATATTGGATGAGGATGCAGTCAGTGCTGTACACAACGTGCTATCTACTGTCCTAGTCTGTTCAGTCGTGGATGAAACTAGCGCTTCCTAGGCTGTTGTGCCAGTAGCACACAGTCCCCAGCACCAGTAGGGATATGGAGGGCGGGTCAAGGATGGCCACACACCCTCAAACACTCTGCAACATTAGACCTGACTGGACACAGTAGAAGTTGTAGCAGAAGACCTGTGTGTGCTGTGTGTGTGTGAGTTAGAGAGTGAGAGCTCTCCTGCCCAGCGAGGCAGACACCTCACACCTCCCCACATACATACTAGTCGCAAACACTACCAAACATTTCGCACTCATAAACATACCAAACAAACCGTATCAGATAGGTAACCATGTCACCCACAACAAACTACAAACAGTCTCAGCTGACATTTCACACAGAATCTCAGTGGCACAAACACATTCCACCGAACAACATTCACTATCACTGAGTCACGTCACCAAGAGCGTATGGAGATGAGAAGAGATGGAGGGGTCAACACCGGCGAGAAGGGGTGGATGAGAGTTGAGAAGTCCAGTTTGGGGACATGGGGAAGCAGTCCCAGAGATAGGAGAACCGTAACAGCTCAGCTCCTTACTGAGTGGAGCTGGTCATGACAGAAGAGAAGGGTGCCAGTGTGTGTGGGAAGTGAGTCGGAAATAGGAGGGAAAAGAGAGAGTCTTCTAATGTTACTTTGTGCATGCCCATTTTGGGTGTGGTCTTCCTATAAGACTAGTTTGAGTCACGAATCTGACCGTGCCTGAACTGTCGTTCTTCCAGTGAGCTGGCCAGCATTTCATTGTTTCCTTAGCTCGTAACACATGTTCCTAATACCTGTGTCTGTTTTTTATGTGCCATACTATGCCTGGGTAACCGCAACAATTTCGTGTGACTTAAAACTTTGTCTTATATGACGTAACCAAGGTTTTTGACACGGAACATTAGAGCTCTATGTGAAGTGTGAAATGTCTCAGTTTAGAAATTCATGTAGGGAATGGGGATTTCCTTCAAGTTTGCAGATGGATCTATACGTAAACACAGGTATTGTTGCACAGACTTAGTGCATGGACTTTTGTCTCTGCACAACATTGACATTTTCCTTGAAATGCCTCGTCATGTTCTCTTCCTTCTACAGTATTCATGATCCACAATCTCTCGATGTGGAAATGTTCTGGTATACTCTATTACAACCCTGTCTTGGATGTGGAGCGAGACGGTTGCCCTCCGGCCAGGTACTGGTGACCAGCCTGCGACCAAAACCCAGGGAGAAGGGGTAGCAGAGAGATGCTCCACAGCCGACAGGAGGCACACCAGAGGCAAGGGCCACCCAACCACCCCAAACACTGCTCCCCCTAGAATGTTCTGGAACAACAGGACCATGACACAAAGTCACTACCTCCCCCTGGTCCACAAGAGTCTCAACTACTTCCTCTCTTCCTGACCGTTTCCGAGTCACTCAGGTAACTTTCAAAAAGTAATGCTCATAGACCACCAACTGTCTCAATTTCTATCCCTCCCTGCCCTCATGTATGCAACGAACAGCTAGCTTCTAGGAGTGGCCAACAAGCAGGCACTAACTAGGAAGACGGGCACGGATGGCAAAGGCTGTTTGTAGAGGTATGTGTAGTGTAAAAACACACCTATCACATGTCACATTTTCAAAGTTCTCTGCATAACACACTACACATTACATCTCAGAGCAACTGTTTTTGTGTCAAGTATAGCCACTTTCTCACACCAACATTGAAATGATGAGGATGGAGTTCAATGCTGTACACAACGTGCTATCTACTGGTCCTAGTCTGTTCCAGTCTGGAATGAAAATAGCGCATTCCTAGCCCTGTTGCCAGTAGCAACACAGTCCCCAGCACCAGTAGGGATATGGAGGCGGGGTCAAGGATGGCCACACCCCTCAACTCTGCCAACATTAGACCTGACTGGACACAGAGAAAGTTGTAGGGCAGAAGACCTGTGTGTGTGTGTGTGTGTGTGTGTGTGTGTGTGTGTGTGAGCTCATTCCCAGCAGCAGACACCTCACACATCCCCCAACATACTGAACATACCAAACAATATTCAGACAGGTCTCAGCTGACACAGTATCAGTGGGGCACAAACAACATTCCGAACTAAGAACACGAACAATATTCACAGCTCGACTGAAGTCACGCACCAAAGAGGACGGAGATGAAGAAGAGATGGAGGGGCACCCCGAGAAGTGGGGATGAGAGGTTGAGGAGCCAGTTTGGGGACATGGGGAACAGTCTCAGAGATAGGAGGACCAGCAACAGCTCAGTCCCCTTACTGGAGTGGAGCTGGTCACGACAGAGAGAAGGGTGCCAGTGTGTGTGGGAAGGTGAGTAGGAAATAAGGAAGGGAAAAGAGAGAGTCTAATGTTAATTTTGCATGGACCATTTTTTGGGTTGGTTCTTCATATAAGACTAAGTTTTGAGTCACGAAATCTGACCTGGCCTGAACTGTTCGTTCTCCAGTGAGCTGGTCAGCATTTTCATTGTTCTTAGCTCGTAACACATGTTCATAACCTGTTTCCTGTTTTTTATGGCATACTATGCATTGGGTAACCAACAACAAATTTCGTGACTTAAAACTTAGTCTTATATGATGTAACAAGGGTTTTTGACACTGAAACATTTAGAACTCTATGGTGAATTGTGAAATGTCTCAGTTTAGAAAATTCATGTAGGGAATGAGGATTTCCTTCAAGTCTGCAGATGGATCTATACGTAAACACATGTGTTGTTGCACAGACTTAGTTGCATGGGACTTTTGTCTCTTGCAAACATTGACATTTTCCTTGAAATGTCCCCAGATTCATGATCCACAATCTCTCAGTGTGGGGGTGTTCTAGTAATACTCTATTACCAACCCTGTCCTGGAGTGGAGCGAGACGGTGCCCCAGGTACCTGGTGACCAGCCTGCGACCAAAGACCAGGGAGAGAAGGTAGCAGAGAGATGCTCCACAGGCAGACAGGAGGCACACCAGAGGCAGGGCCACCCACACCCCAAACACTGCTCCCCCTAGAATGTTCTGGAACAGGACCATGATACACAGTCACTACCTCCCTGTGTTCCACAATAGTCTCAACTAAACCCTCACTTTCCCACTCTTCCCGACCGTTTCCGAGTCACTCGGTAACTTTTCAATAAAGCAAATGCTCATCGACCACCACTGTTTCAATGTCTATCCCTCCCTGCCCCTCACATATGAACGAACAGCTAGCTTCTAGGAGTTGCCAACAAGCAGGCACTAACTAGGAAGACGGAGCCAGGGATGGCAAAGGTCTGTTTGTAGAGGTAGGCGGCAGAAAATACGCAGAGAACTCTGCCGTAGTGCTCCTCCCTCAGTCTTTCCAGCTGGGAGGCCAGGGATCGGAGCTGGTCCATGTCAGAGGGGAATGACAAGGGAGGCCTGGGGATTAGGATGGGCCATGTTATGTATTCCTTCATTCGTTGCTTGATATCATGAAATAGTTCTCCCTACTTCAAGCTATTATAGTTGAATGAATGAATAGATCAGTGTTTAGGGAGATTCAGATGTTAAAGTTCTCACCCATTTCTCAGCAGAGAGGCGGCCAGGGCATACAGAGGCACAGTGGCAGCTGCAAAAGTCACCAACACACCCACCAGTTCTCTTAGCATCCTCTTTAGCGCGTATCATACCCCTAGTGCGCCTGCGCGAAAAATAACCGCCCACTCGTGGAATAATGGCAGCGAGCAAGGCGGGGAGAAAGACGCTGACGTTCGTCACAGGCAACCCCAAGAAGCTGGAAGAGGTAATCTTTACATAACTCATCTGTATGGCAAGACTTAGAGCATGCATGATGCCGTTTCTCTCACAGTATTAGCTGAACATGATCACCAGCCACACCCCCAACACCTCATTTTTAGGTACACCAAATTTTAGTTCCCCAACTCTATATTTTTAGCTAACAACAGCTCAAATGTGCCTCTAGCAACACTGAGATATATTAGCCTCTCCCGCTCTCCTGTGTGTTGAAATCTCTGTAACAACAGACAACAGCTGTACCCAAGTCAACGACAAAAAGCTGCGTTAGTGTGTGCTAGATTAGTTGCGCCTTATTCGAGTATTGTGTGATAGAATGCGTGTATATAGTGCATGCATAGTCAGTATATCTTTTTGTATTAAGAGTATTGTGTGATAGAGTGTGTATATATAGTGCATGCATACGTCAATATATCTTTTTGTGTTTGTCTGAGCAAGCTGGTGGAGTTGTTCTAGCTGACATACACCATCAGATACTGTACACTACACCTATGGCCATACTAGATAGATAGAGAGATAGAATTGTTTTACAAAGCAGGACTCCCCACTCTCTCAGAATACCGACAGCCTCAGACCTGCCAATGGCCATGAGGTACCGCGTCCTCCAGAAGACGTACAAACAGATGGTTGGAGTGTACCAGTCCTACATCCATGGACTGGGGCTGTTCTGCCGGAGAGACATTGAGGCTGGGGAGATGGTGATAGAGTACGCCGGCACCGTCATTAGGTCCGTCCTCACTGACAAGAGAGAGAAGATGTATGATGCCAAGGTAAGGATGCTTGGTAGAGAGCAACAAAACGACAGGGCAATAATTGGAAATCTATTACAACCAACATGTTACTTGTTGTCTGGGTTTTGGATGCTCAACTACTCCTCCTTTGTTTTCGAGCTTCCCCCTTGATGACCTCAGCATGCTACAATGCTGCCAGTCATAGCAAGTTTCTCAGTGGCTGTTTATGCAGTGTACTGTGAGGTTCATTATCTTCAATTTTTCATAGCCTGCTCTCTGGAGTCAGCATGATGAACACAATAGGCATTAATGTTTTTTATGGGAAGGCGAAAGGGGAGGAGAAAGGTGGGTGTGGTTTTTTTCCACAGGGCATTGGGTGCTACATGTTCAGGATAGATGCAGATGATGTTGTGGGTGCTACGATGTCTGGCAACGAGGCCAGGTTTATCAACCATTCCTGTGAGGTGAGTACTAGCATCTCTCTTCTAGCTTCAAAAAACTTACAGAAGAAGATAATGATATTTGCTCTAAGGAGGTCAGCCACGCACCAGCTCTATTATATTTTACAAACAAGGCTAGATTGGCACATGTGTATTTGACTTCACGTGTCACTTCCAATGTTACGTGCATAAACATGTAAATTACGTGTGCGTGTGTGGAGAAATTTTCACAATTGAATGCAGCATGCAAAGAGTTAACTTGAAGCTCCTCCCACCACTGTAGGATCGTACCAGGTGAAGAGCTGACGTATGACTACAAGTTTCCTCTGGAGGAAGCCAAGATACCTTGCAACTGTGGCACTAAACGATGTCGCAAGACCATGAACTGACCACACCCCCTTCCCAGTGAACTGGCCACACCATCTGACCACACCCCTCTTCTATAACTGACCACACCCCCTCAATATGATGCTTTCTCTCTACCCTTTCCCTCTCTTTCAGTCTTTGATGCACAAGGTTTGGTGGCTGGTACTCTATTTTGGCCGTTTTCTCTTCTCACCAAATTTATCACCAAAAAATCTATTATCCTTGTGGAATTTTTGTTACATTTCACCTTATAAACCCTTCTGCAATTTTATCTCAAAGTGATATATACTATTGTTCGACCCGTTCAAACCATTCTCTGAAAAGTGTCTGCCTACACGAGGAATGATATATGTTTGCATGTTAATGCATACTAACCGGCCAGTTATAGAAGCACAAAGTATGTTTACCCTTTCAGCATGCACGAGAGCCGTGGATTGATAAGCCAGTCCATGGAGTCTGGTTAACCATCGAAATGCATATTATTACACATAGGCATACAATAATATACACACAGTTACAACAGCCTATGTTGAACTGTCACACAGTCACCAAAACCACCACCTGCTGCTCTTCAGTTTGGCACGATCGGTGTCAATCACTTTCTGGACGAAGACAGACCCAACCCCGACTGTCTGTGTTTCCGGGTCCACGTAGAAGGGGTGTGGCTGTATGTCGGAGAGGCGGTTGAGAACCTTGGGCACATTCTCACCGACCATCTTACTGAACTCATCCACGTCCACCGCCGCTCCAGGCTCCTTGAAGAGCCCATACAGATCCTTCTTGTTTGCATTCGGGAAGCGCTCGTGAAACCGTTTCAAGGCTCTCCTGCTGCCCTTGAGCATGCTGGTCTCGCGTTCAGATGCGAAACTGCACCAGAGCTTTCAAAGACACCTGCTGCTGGTTTTTGGAAAACCTCACTTGGTCTGCAAAACTATCCAGGTGCAGCAGCCGAGTGCCCAAGAGTTTTACCACTTGCTCGGCACACTTGGAAACAGCCGTGTTGTCAGTGGCTCCCTCCAATTTCAACTCCCTGCACAACTGCTCAATGTACCGCTTGGCCTCCTCGCGATCTAAGTCACCAACGCTGGCAAACTCAGCCCTCAGTTCGTCCATGCCAATCCCCAACCCCATGGCAGCTCGTGATGTCGACAGGACCACGATGGGACGCACGAGTGCCTCGTCGTGTCCCCAGTCTTTCAGCGTGAGAGCCAGCTCCTCAAGAGCTTTCGACGACGTGAACCGCTCGTTCACCTCCACTACAAGAACAGGGGGGTGCTCCAAGCCTGCATACCCCGGCTTCCTGCGGATTTCCTTCAGTGCATTCACCACAACCTCGGTGTAGTTCACTTGCTCGTTTGTGTGTAGCCCCAAAGACTCGGTGATGGCACGAGCAAGCTTTTGACCCAATTCACTCTCCCCGGCAAGTGTTACAACCACAACCCCCTTCTTGCCCTTCCAGAATCTCCCTGACTGCTGCCGTCTTTCCACTTCCTCGCGGGCCACAAACCATCACTGTCTTCTGGTTTTCCTTGGCGGCGAAAATGTTCATGATGTCGGGCAGGCCACCCCTTTTGATGTACAGAGAGGGTTTCTTGTTTTTCGCTGGGTAGGTTGACCCGAGGATCTCCTTTTTGAGGTTTTTCTGGAGCCCCTTGCCATACCGTCGGGTGTACTCTTTATATGCCATCCCCACACCAAACACGGTGGCGATGCTGCGGCCATGGTCACCAGGTCTCGGAATTCAAGGGTCATGTCTCGCACAGCAAAAAAGCCCTCTTTTATCTTTTGGCACGGGGAGGTTGAGGAGATTGTGTTGCCACGTATAGGTTTAGTCATAGTGAAGGCGGCCGGCCTGAGTCGTAGAGTTAGCAGACGAGAGGTACACAGGGAAAACATCCTGACGAGGGACGAGGCTTGTTGACAGCTGGGGTTTGCAATGTGATATGACAGAAGCTTTGAGGAGCTATCAATATGTGCCGTTCGGCAGCTTCAACAGCATGCTTTTATATCCAACTGTTGTGAACGTATTCATTGCAGTCGTAATTGAAGAGTTATGTGTTGTGCTAACTGAGACTGGTGTACATAATGGGTGTTTCCCCAATGGAAGTTTTACTCTGCACATTGTTACTTTGCAGAAAGGTGACGTATGTAGTCTAAAACTGTCACATTTTCAAAAATCCTCACATGACATGAGGAATGCTATAGTTCTCTGTATAACACAACATTACATCTCAGAGCAACTGTTTTCTCTCACATAGCCACTTTCTCAAACCAACATTAATATTGATGAGGATGCAGTTCAATGCTGTACACACCGTGCTATCTACTGGTCCTAGTCTGTTCCAGTCTGGAATTAAAATAGCGCATTCCTAGGCCTGTTGCCAGTAGCAACACAGTCCCCAGCACCAGTAGGGATATGGAGGCGGGGTCAAGGATGGCCACACCCCTCAACTCTGCCAACATTAGACCTGACTGGACACAGAGAAAGTTGTAGGGCAGAAGACCTGTGTGTGCGTGTGTGTGTGTGAGAGAGAGAGCTCTCATTCCCAGCAGCAGACACATCACACCTCTCCCAACATACTAGTCTCAAAACATACCAAACCGTATTCAGACAGGTAATATGTCACCCACAACAAACTACAAACAGTCTCAGCTGACATTTCACACAGAATCAGTGGGGCACAAACAACATTCCACGAACAACATTCACTATTCAACTGAAGTCACGCACCAAAGAGGATGGAGATGAAGAAGAGATGGAGGGGCACCCCGAGAAGGGGGGATGAGAGGTTGAGGAGCCAGTTTGGGGACATGGGGAACAGTCTCAGAGATAGGAGGACCAGCAACAGCTCAGCTCCCTTACTGGAGTGGAGCTGGTCATGACAGAGAGAAGGGTGGAGTGTGTGTGGAGGGAGGTGAGTAGGAAATAAGGAAGGGAAAAGACAGAGTCTAATGTTAATTCTGCGTGGACCATTTTTTGGGTTGGTTCGACTAAGTTTTGAGTCACGAAATCTGCTGGTCAGCATTTTCATTGTTCTTATATATAATAGTTCATAACCCATGTTCATAACTTGTTTTTCTTATGGCATACTATGCATTGGGCAACCAACAACAAATTTTGTGACTTAAAACTTAGTCTTATATTTTTGCCACTGAAACATTTAGAACTCTATGGTGAATTGTGAAATGTCTCAGTTTGGAAAATGCATGTAGGGAATGAGGATTTCCTTCAAGTCTGCAGATGGCTCTCTATACGTAAACACATGTGTTGTTGCACAGACTTAGTTGCATGGGACTTTTGTCTCTTGCAAACATTGACATTTTCCTTGAAATGTTCCCAGGTTCATGATCCACAATGTGTGGGAATGTTCTGGTAATACTCTATTACCAACCCTGTCCTGGAGTGGAGTGAGACGGTGCCCCAGGTACCTGGTGACCAGCCTGCGACCGAAGACCAGGGAGAGAAGGTAGCAGAGAGATGCTCCACAGGCAGACAGGAGACACACCAGAGGCAGGGCCACCCACACCCCAAACACTGCTCCCCCCTAGAATGTTCTGGAACAAGAAGACCATGATACACAGTCACTACCTCCTCCCCATGTGCTCCACAAGTCTCAACTAAACCCTTACTTTCCCTCTCTTCCCGACCGTTTCCGAGTCACTCGGTAACTTTTCAAAAAGTAAATGCTCATCGACCACCACTGTCTCAATTTCTATCCCTCCCTGCCCCTCACGTATGCACGAACAGCTAGCTTCTAAGTGTCGCCAACAAGCAGGCACTAACTAGGAAGACGGAGCCAGGGATGGCAAAGGTCTGTTTGTAGAGGTAGGCAGCAAAAAATACGCAGAGAACTCTGCCATAGTGCTGCTCCCTCAGTCTTTCCAGCTGGGAGACCAGGGATCGGAGCTGGTCCATGTCAGAGGGAAATGACAGGGGAGGCCTGGGGGAATTAGGATGGGCCATGTTATATACTCCTTCATTCCGTGCTTGATATCATGAAATAGTTCTCCCTACTTCAAGCTATTATAGTTGAGTGAATGAATAGATCAGTGTTTAGGGAGGTTCAGATGTTAAAGTTCTCACCCATTGTAACTTAAAACTTTTCTGAATAATGTGAAACATATTACTTTCAGGAAATTATGCAAATGACCGTCAAACTTCTTTTTCTCTCCCAACCTTTTTCGAACAGTAAATATTTCCTGCCTCAGGTAGAAGGTGCAGTGATGACAGAGGACACCTGTCTCTGTTACAATGCTCTGGGAGGTCTGCCTGGACCGTACATGTGAGCCTCACACTCACTCTATCTATTATAGCTATTGGATGCATGTTGATTTGGTTGAATGTGCAGCAAATGGTTCTTGAAAAAGACTGGTCACGAAGGTAAGCCACTACAGTAACCACACCAGATTTGCCAGTTCTCTCTGCTTCTGTCAGGGCTCAACAATCTGCTGGCTGCCTATTCTGACAAGACGGCATTTGCTCAGTGCACCTTTGCCTTCTGTGAGGGTAAAGGTCAACCTGTCAAACTGTTCAAGGGAGTAACAAATGTGAGGGATGGTTGTCACCACACATTGCCTCGTGATAATATTCATAATGCAGGAAGTTAATTTAGCATAGAAGAATGCAATGATCCATTCCCAGTCTAAAACCTAACTCCGTGGATACTGCTGTTATCCATTTTCTCTGCTTGTCAAGTAGGAATATCTCCGTGTGTGTGTCCATTATGATGGTAATGTATACCTCCACAGGGTACAATAGTTCCGGCCCGAGGACCCCCGGATTTTGGTTGGGACCCAATATTCCAGCCAGAGGGGTTCCAGCTCACGTATGCAGAGATGGAGTCAGGGGTCAAAAACACCATCTCCCATCGCTACAAGGCCTTGTGTGCCCTCAGAGACTATCTCACTGGCGGGGGAAAGGAGGGGGAGGGAGGAGTGTGGGAGGAGGGAGACACTAATACAAAGAGAGCCAAACTTGTTTAATGTAATCACCTTGCCTCATGAGTGTTGTACATAATCATACGTGCCCCTTTGATCCAGGTGCATAATTACACACATGCACAGACAGTGAGTCCAAGGCTCTTCCTTCTCCCCCTGCCGTCCATGGAGAGAGAACCAGTGACACTTTTCGCGTTAGAATTAAAGTTGTATATGTTTGGTCACACATTCTTCCAGTGTTTATTAGTTGTTCATTTCTGTGGTTCACTGCCTTTTCATGCTGAAGGGAGATTCATGACAACCTTCTCGTGAGAAAGCTTGATATTCACCAGGTGACAATCATGAATAAGGGACATAGGCCCTACCACCTGGCAAAAACAGAATATGGTTCCTCCCACAAAATACTCCAACTATGTATTAGGGCCTGATATATCCTTATTTGGTGATCATCCGACCTAGTGCTCCGTGTTCCCAGGCAACAACCAATCAGATTGAAGTTCCTCGTACTGGTGACTACCTATATATTATGACTGTGCCAAAGATGTTTTGTATTAGTCAGTAGCGATGAGTGGCCGTTCTAGAGGTAGCCTAAGGGATCGAGCCTTAGGGCACCAGCAGAAAACCAAGTGGTGGAATCTGAGTAATGATGAAAAGAAAAAAATACAGGGAGAAGTGTTGGATGCAGCAATAGAGGGAGATATTACAAAAATGAAATCCCTCATAAAGCAATATGAAGGTCTCAGACTGGATTACTGCGTGTATAACGATGATCATGGAGATACTGCACTTCACCTGGCAGCCTTACATGGTCACCTACAGATCGTGAAATATCTCGTTGTGAATGGTTACCGTGTTATTGAGTGTGAAAACAATTATAAGCATACTCCTCTTCACCGAGCAGCGAAAGGAGGCAACTTGGAGGTTGTCAAATACCTGATAGAAGAAAAGAAATGTAATCCAATGCGTTTGTGCGACTGGGGCAGAACCCCTCTGCACTACGCATGTGAAAATGAAAATGCCAGTATTGATCTTGTGCAATATTTGATGAATCTAGAAGGTGTCAATGTCAATGTTAAAGATACAAGGTACGGATTCACACCACTTGATATTGCAGCAGCACATGCACCTATTGAGCTTGTAAAATACATGATTGAAGAAAAGAACTGCTATGATCCAGCAAACTATGAAGGCTCAAGCTCACTACTAAATCATGCTGCATTCAGAGGAAACCTGCCTGTAGTTAAGTATCTTGTTGAAAAGAGAGGTTTTGATGTCAATGTAAAAGGTTTGAATGACTGGACTCCACTTCATTCTGCATGCAGTAATGGAAAGTTAGAGGTGGTCAAATATTTAATGGAAGATAAACATAATATTGATGTTAATGCTAAAGATTCAAAATATGGATCAACGCCACTTGATTTAGCAGCAGCATACGGCACTGTGGATGTTGTTAAATACATGATTGAAGAAAAGAATTGCTATGATCCAGCAAACTATGAAGGCTCAAACACACCACTAACTCTTGCTGCAATCAGAGGAAACCTGCCTGTAGTTAGGTATCTTGTTGAAAAGAGAGGTTTTGATGTCAATGTGAAAGGCTTGAATGACTGGACTCCACTTCATTCTGCATGCCGTAATGGAAAGTTAGAGGTGGTCAAATATTTGATGGAGAATAAACGTATTGATGTTAATGCTAGAGATTCAGAGTATAGATCAACTCCTCTTGATTTAGCAGCAGAATATGGCACTGTGGATGTTGTTAAATACATGATTGAAGAAAAGAACTGCTATGATCCAGCAAACTATGAAGGCTCAAACACACCACTACATCATGCTGCACTCAGAGGAAACCTGCCAGTAGTTCAATATCTTGTTGACACCAGAGGTTTTGATGTAAATAGTAAAGGTTGGCATGATAGGACTCCACTGCATTTTGCATGTCAAGGAGGACATCTGGATGTAGTCAAGTATCTGATAGAGGAAAGTAAAATGGAAATGCTTGAAATGGTTGCAGATAAAAATGGTTTAACTCCTCTTGATTTAGCTGCTGAATATGGAACCTTGGATGTTGTTCAGTACATGGTTGATAAGAGAAATTGTGAAATGCAATATTCAAGCGAGAAAGGATACACACCACTTCACTGTGCTGCCCGCGGTGGAAAATTGGACATTGTTAAATATCTTATTGAGAAGAAAGGTTTCGTCCCAAACTGTAATGGGCATTTAAACAGAACTCCACTTCACTCAGCATGTTCCCGGAGCAAATATGATGTAGTGGAGTACCTCATAGTTAAATGTGGTGTCACGTCATCTAGGGATAAGGATGGTAGCACGCCTCTCCATGCTGCCGTAAAAAATAAAACTTGTGAAAGGTCCGTTGTTGAATTGTTAATCACTGAATTTGATGGTGAACTTGAAGCTGAAGACTTGTTTCGGAGAGATGCAGCAAGTATGGCAAAAGATAAAGAGATCTCAACTCACCTACAAAAGGCCAAACAGCTTTGCCACAGTAAGTATATATAATTATTCATAGCTACAGTTTCCAGGTAGGTAATTAACCTTGGCGCGCATCCGCAGGGAGAGTGAATTCTCGGGGTCTGCGTCAGTGTGTGTGTTATTCTTGTGGGCCAGCGACGTAATGCCGGAAAATTACATTCCGTGCGCCACACGCGTTCAAATCCTCGGCGAACTGCGCATGCGCGGTACCTCTAATTCGTATGCGATCTCCTGCTGCTATGTAGCTCGCGGAGAGTCTGATACGGGCTAGCTACAGTAGTAGATAGCATGCAGGAATCGATACACGCCGGCTTCTTGTGCCTCGGAGGTACACAGAGCAAGCGGATCAGGTCGTGGTAAGCCTGTGTCAATTTTTTCACTTGGTTTTCACGCCATAACTCTCGAACGCCGTACCTTTACGGAAATCGCTATTTTTTTAAATCAAGCCAGTGTAGAAATGAACCTGTCGGTATCGCTATTTTGTTGTCTCGTTGCGCGTGGTGGCAGAAAACGGACGGACGGAAGTGGTAACCTCCGGCATCGAGGGTTAAATATCACGTGCACTGCGCTTACTAATACTAAAGCCGAGTCGTCCCACGATTAGAACCCCTCTGAGTTTCCTGGTAGCTCAGTTGGTTGCATGAGCACTCGCCTACAAATCCCACCCAGGACAGCTCTTCTTTTCCTTGGGTTGTAGTTAAATTGTTTGCTTTGCCTTGCCTTCTATCTTGTTACTTCATTCAGACACATGCACACGAGGAAGTTTGCACTTGAGCAGGTTTTGGGGCAGCAATATTAACTGCGGACAGTTTTGGGAGTTGTGTTCGAAAAACGGAGTAGTGCGAATACATGCTTGTGTTGCAAGAATATCGGCAGCGAGTGTTGCTTCCGTGCATGGCAACCACTACTAGTTTCTTTTACACTGAGGGCTTAGTGGTTCTTAGAGCCCATTTATTGCGTGACTTTTCACTTTCTCAGATGAATTACGCAATACTCTAAAAGAGCGTTTGAAAGTCACAAAAGCCATACGAACAGGAACAGTTATATCTGAAGGGGCATTCAGTTCCATCATTGAGTTAAAAATCTATGCAACAACTGGGGAGAGAGTGGCAGGCAAGGTTCTCAAAGAATATCCCTCAGACATCACTCAATTGGAAACCACACTCGAAGCAGTAACTGAGAAATGCTAAAATTATTACAACATTTCTCACGAGAATGTTGTGGGATAAAAGGAGTAAGTTTCTAACGGACAGAATTCTGCCCGTTGTTCTAATGGAAAGAATGAGAGTAGCCTCCAATCGTATCTCCAGCATCATCCATACTCTCTTTCAGTGAATAAAAGTATTGGAATTTTAAGAGATGTAGCTTGTGGATTGATAAAGAGATCTCAACTCACCTACAAAAGGCCAAACAGCTTTGCCACAGTAGAGCTATATATAATTATTCATAGCTACCGTTCCAGGTAGGTACAGAACTTGGCGCGCATCGCAGCGAGGGAGAGTGAATTATCGGGTGTCTGCGTCAGTGTGTGTGTTATTCTTGTGGCATGACGTAAGCCGGAAACATTACATGCGGTGCGCCACGCGTCAAATCCTCAGACCCGCGAACTGCGCATGAGCTTCGGCTGGCGGGAGGACCTCTATTCGCTATGCGATCTCCTGCTGCTATGTAGCTCGCGGAGAGTGCGAGTCTGATCGCAGCTACAGTAGTGGATAGCATGCAGGAATCGATACACGCCGGCTTGAACTTGAAGCTAAAGACTTATTTGGAAGAGATGCAGAAAGTATGGCAAAAGATGAAGGGATCATAACTCACCTACAAAAGGCCAAACAGCTTCGCCACAGTAAGTATATTCATAGCTACAATTTCCATTAACCCTGGCGTGTATCCGCACTCTTCGGTCTGTGTGTGTGTTAGTCTTGTGGGCCAGACATAATGTTGGAAAATTACATTCCGTGCCACATTCTAACTTAAATATCACGTGCACTGCGCTACTAAGCTGAGTCGTTTGTAAAGCGGCAAAAAAAAACGACAAATGCGGGGCTTAGCACAAGCATCCACTAAACGCTTGAGACAAGTACTCTATCCTGATGCCACGTTAGGCAGCAACTATGTCCTCATTGATGCCTAGATCTAATTACCCTGGTCTACTCCTACATACTGAGTGGGAGTATACTGTGCTAGTATACTGTGGGAGTATACTGTGCACAGTGGTTTTTTGAGGTTTAGCTTTGTGTTGTGTTGTGTAGCATTGAAGATTAGAACCCCTACAAGCTGAGTTGTCCTGGTAGCTCAGTTGGTTGCATGAGCACTCGCCAGGGTTCGAATCCCACCCAGGACAGCTCTTCTTTTTCCTTGGGTTGTAGCTTTGCATTGCCTTCTATCTTGTTACTTCATTCAGACACATGCACATGAGAAAGTCTGCACTTGAGCAGGTTTTGGGGCAGCAATATTAACTGCGGACAGTTTTGGGAGTTGTGTTCGAAAAAAGTAGTGCGAATACATGCTTGTGTTGCAAGAATATCAGCAGCGAGTGTTGCTTCCGTGCATGGCAACCCACTACCAGTGTTTCTTTTACTAAGGGCTTATACTTCAGTGGTTCTTATAGCCCATTTATTGCGTGACTTTTTCACTTTCTCAGATGAATTACGCAATAATCTAAAAGAGCGTTTGAAAGTCACAAAAGCCATACGAACAGGAACAGTTATATCCGAAGGGGCATTCAGTTCCATCATTGAGTTAAAAATCTATGCAACTACTGGGGAGAGAGTGGCAGGCAAGGTTCTCAAAGAATATCCCTCAGACATCACTCAATTGGAAACCACACTCGAAGCAGTAACTCGAAATGCTAAAATTATTACAACACTTTCTCACGAGAATGTTGTTGGGATAAAAGGAGTAAGTTTTCTAACGGACAGAATTCTGCCCGTTGTTCTAATGGAAAGAATGATGAGTAGCCTCCAATCGTATCTCCAGCATCATCCATACTCTCTTTCAGTGAATAAAAGAATTGGAATTTTAAGAGATGTAGCTTGTGGATTGCAGTATCTTCACAGCCTCAACCCTCCATACGTTCATGGGCACCTCACAGCAGAGAATATCCTAGTGAACCAGAGGTTAAAAGCCAAGATTGGAGGGTTTTCCATAATATCTAACTATCGGCGACATCTAGATACGACATACATGCCCCCAGCGACTGAGGGAGGGGATAGACCATCAGATCCAAGTCTGGATGTTTTCTCATTTGGACATTTAGCTCTTGTCACTATACTTCAAGAAAAAGTGGAACCACTTCTTCTTTCTTACTACCTCAATGAGTCTGGGGAGGCGAGTATTCGACAGGAAGTTCACAGAACTACTTTTATGAAAAAAGCTGAGGAAATATTGTCTGAAAATAATTCTGTGTTCGAGCTTATCAAAGTTTGCCTTTCCAATGTCCCAAGTGAACGACCCTCTGCTAGTAAACTGCTTCAAGAAATAGGTGGGTTTTATCCTATAACCATTGAATGCAATAGTGTGAAACTGTATGAAGAATTTGTTATCTACACATCCTTTCATTTTCAGATAGTTGTGAGGGTAAATCAGGTGATGAAGATTTCACTGAAGATGCAGGTATGTATTCAGTTTTGTATGCTACTAAAGTCAGATCCACTGTTCTCTCAGCTGCCGATGAAGGTGGCATTCCTTCTAAAGCGATAGATTCTCATGAGAAAAGTAAGTATTATGTTATATCCATTCCAGAATACTAATCTTGTGTTTTGCAGTGAGCATTGAAAAAGCCGAATCTATCGTTCAAGAAATGCTACAAAAGGAAGGTGAATTTAGGCAAAAGAATATGGTGGTAGTCCTTACAGGCCTGATGGAGGCTGGTAAAACCACACTTCTGTGTAAAATATTGAAGGAACCTCTTCCAGATAAGTACTCAAGCACAGGAGCAGCAGAAAGAGCAGTAAGATACCATATTGTTGACATGAAAGATTTAAAACTTCTTAAGAATCCTGAAGACATGTTTGAACTGGTGACTATGGTAAAGAAAGAGACAACTAAAAAAAGTACTACCAAGGAAGAATTAAAAGACTCAACTGCAGCACCAGTTACAAAGAGAGTAGAAGAAAGTATAGCAAATCTGGCACACGAGGAAGCATCAAGTGTCAATGTGATTGGACATGAGACAACTGAGCCAGTAGCAGGAAGTAATGAAATTATAACGACATATAATGCAGGAAGTGACAGTACATTGAGCAATAAATCACCCAGCCTCAGAGAATATGTCGATATGGTCCGTAAGAATCCAAATGAATACTATGGTGAATTGGAGCTGCTACATATGATTGATACAGGTGGACAACCAGAATGTCTTGCAGTGATGCCTACCTTGATCCACCATGCAGATCTTATACTCCTAGTTATTGACCTATCGCGCCCTCTAGATGACTGCATCACACCTACGTACCATGAAAATGGCCACAAGTTTGAGAAAGGGCCTTTAATAACAACTAATAAGGAAATTATTAAGCAACTGGCTCATACAATGGCAGGTAGGAGTAACTCAAAAATCCTAGTTGTTGCCACTCATACGGACAAAGTTCCTAAAAATGATTTGACGAAAGTACTAGACGATTTGAATGATATTGTAGCAGAATATCTCCCTTCTGAATCACTTATGGCCAACAAGGAGCAGGCTGTGTTTGATATTAACTTACTTGATCCTGACGAGACACTAGACACCATACGTGAGACTATCATTGATGTTAAGGTTAAGCCAATTGATATTCCCCCATCTTTTGTGTTGCTTGAAAATGACATGCAACACTTTTACGTCAGCAACAGAAAGGTAGAAGTGTTAGAATTCAAAGAATGCATTGAAATTGGTAAAAATCTACACATGACAGAGGAAATTATTGAAGCAGCTCTAACTTACTTTCATAAAAACAATGTTCTTTTGTTCTTTAAGGAAATTGGTCCAGGGCTTATTTTTGTGGATCCAAAAATTCTGATTTCTTTTTTTGACAATCTAATCAAATTTTCTTACGCAATAACTGAAGGAGAAAGCATAATATGTCCAGCACTGACCATATACCAGGTAGACGCCCTCAGAAGAGGAATGCTCTCAGAAGATCTTTTTGAACACAAGGTTCTGACTGAAAACTTTGTTCCTGGCCTCTTTGAAGCTAAGCATGCATTGAAATATTCAAACAGTTTTATATTATAGCAGAGGGAAGACTGGACCATACATCAGTTAACTACATAATGATGTGTTTGCTTTGCCCTTTACGAGAACAAGAGTTTGAAAGCAAAAAGAAACTCATTAAAGAATCTACAAGAGTCAAGCCTCTTTTTATAGAGTTCGGAAAAGAAGTTCTCCACTGAACTGGAAAGTTTGCTACACCCCCTATGGGTGTTTTGGTGGCACCATCGCTTGTCTGATATCAGACTTCAATTGGAAAATTTGTACTGATGATGATGATAAGAAACCCGAATGTCTCTATCGTAATGTTGTAATGCTTCAGCTAAACCGAATGAAGCTAAAAATAACACTGATAAACACGATCGAACTCTTCGAAGTGTATGTGGGATCAAAAGATGAATGCAAGCAAGAGAATCTCTCCAGGGTACGAAAAGAACTAGTTGGTGCAGTAAATGAGGTGTTGGAAACGATGAAAATGGACCTTGATGTTGCTGAAGGGATCGAGTGCACCTGTGGGGAGAAAAGTGTGTTCCATTTAAAGTATCTGCTAGAGAATCCAGAATCATCTGAAGAGTGTGCTGAGTGCAAGTATGGTCATGGAGAAAAGCCTGAAACCTTTTGGGCTAAAGGTAAGATAGCAACTACAATAGTATAGAGCCAAATTAACAATCCCTTCCATTAAAATCCACAGGTGAGGCTTTACAAGAAAATAAAACACAGTTAGCAGCAGTGACAGCTAAACTCAGTGAGTCCTCCATTGACACAATCATAGTCACCGTAACTTTATCGGGGTGTGTTCAATTATAGATATTGATGACTTGTTTGAAGTGGTGAGTGAGTTGCAGCCAGTAATAACCAGGTGGAAACACGTTGGAATGGCCCTCAAACTGGGTCGTGAACAACTGAAGAAGATAGAAAAGGAGAACAAAGATGATCTTGATGACTGTCTAAGTGAGGCCCTAAGCCTGTGGCTGAATAAGAACTACAATACTGAAAGATTTGGAGAGCCATCATGGGAGCAACTGGCCGAAGCAGTTGGTCATCGTTCTGGAGGGAATATTCTGCAGTTGCCGAGGGAATTCGTCAAAGACACAGTAAACACACTCTATTAGCCTATTTACATTAGTTCACTACATCATTATTTGCCAATGCAGCAGTAATAGACAGACACACCATCGAGGACAGTAAAGGCAAGTTTGTGCAACGTCAAACTTTTTTGTTTGTAAACAATGTTGTTTACTGTAAACAACAATAAAATTGCCCCAGGCAGTACATTATAATGGGCAATACGTTATAATGGGCATAATACATGTGTCACTGTAACTCACAATTGGGTAAGAGTTATGCGAGCGAAAGTTTGTATACACAATGTATTCAATAGCCAACATCAAAATCATAACAATACATGTTTGTAAATAACAACAAATAGCCTCAGGTACTTTTCTTTAAAATTACTTCTTCACTCCTCAAACTCGCTAACGGTACCACGCATGGAGGTGAAACTTGGTGCGCATGTGTATTACATCGTTTCCATGACAACTACAACAACGAATAGCCTCAGACACTTTTCTTTGTAATTACTTCTTCACTCCTCAAACTTGCTAACGGCAGCACACATGGATGGTATGCATTTCATTTCCATGACAACAACAGGCATTTTTTCTCTATTATTAATTTTATAGGGGCTTGCCCCCTCCACAGAGATAATACTAGTAGTATATAAAATGAGTGGAGACAAGTAAATAAAAATCTGACGGATTAAAAAAAGAGTGCATATAGGATCGTATAAAAAGAAAGGGAGACAAGATAGGGATTGTGTTTGTGGAAGCACAGAGATGCTAGCGAGGAGTTAAGACTCCCACAGGTCATTACAACATCCCTATATAGTCGTACGGTGGGAGTACCTAGCATCATAGATGTATGGGGCTATGATAGGGAAAGTTTTCAATCTTCTTCGTAGGGGGTGGGAGTGGGAGTGATGAGAGAGTCTGTAGAATTATATAGGTAATGAAGTACTTACTAATTACCTTACCTTTGATAGATTTGTCATGCTACATTTCCATGGGGTGCGCATTTAGGTGGAAGTGTAATCAGCTGACCATACATGGATCATACGTGTATAAGCTATACATGGAACATGGAAAAAATTGTGTAACGCAGAGAAAAAAATTCAAGTATGCACGGTTGGCTGATATATCACGAGGAGTAGTAAAGCACCGATACGACGATATAGGGCTGTTTTGTAATGACCTGTGGGAGTCCTAACTCCTCGCTAGCATCTCTGTGCGTCCACAAACACAATCCCTATCTTGTCTCCCTTCCTTTTTATACGATCCCTATATGCACTCTTTTTTTAATCCGCAGGATTTTTTATTTACTTGTATACCTTCTGGAGACCGTTGGCCGTCCAGAGACCATACTATGCACTACCTAATGTGTTTACTATGCTGTTCTATCATCCATGACCGTAGTTACTGCACAGCATACGTATACTACACGCCAGCGGTCAATCGAATGAACATTCCGCGGCAAAGACGCGCGCCGGCGTAGTGGAAGCCATAATCTGAGTTCAGGAAGCGCTTTCTCACGCGAGACTAGACTACGGACACACACGTACACGTACACGTACACACGCACGTATTTACGCCACTGAGGGGTCTTTCCCCAGTTTTCAGACAGCAATGCAGTTTGCGTTGTTTTGTTGGGATGACAGAGACAGACCCTCTTACCACGCAGCTACCGTCCGCAGGGACCGTGCCTCCCTCAGACTCTGTCGGAGACGTACCTACCTCCAAACGACCCAAGTTATACTCTGTCGAAGACGTGCCTCCCTCCAAACGACCCAAGTTATACTCTGTCGAAGACGTGCCTCCCTCCAAACGACCCAAGTTAGACTCTGTCGGAGACGGAACAGGTAGGCCGAGAAGTGCGAGCAGGGGAAGCGGGTGTACATTCCCGGGGAGGGGCGCTTGCTTTCTCTGACGGTCGGTTACGTCCCAAGACTACGTACTTACGTCTCCTTTCCCGGAGATCTATGTCAGTTCTCCCCTGTTTCAGTAGACTTTAGAGCCGCAAGCGAAGAGAGCGCGTGTCACCAGTTTGTTTAGATATGTGCTACAGAAAGCTAGCAACAGCGGGCTCACGGGTCCCCACAGACTTGCTATCCAACACCTTTCTCTATCCTCAAACATCAAAACTTCCACCTTCTCTTCATCTGCACCCTCTTCCCACTAACCCCTCCCTTCTCTTACCCATACTCCCCTTTTCTTGTCTTCGTTTCTCCCCAGATTTCTTCCTTGAAGATCTCCCGGATGATCTTCTAGTTACAAGTATCGATCTACCGGGCCTTGATGGACCCGCAACCACTGATCTCCCCAGTGTGGCTGGTGTCTCCCAGCCTCAACAGCTACCTGCTGGGCTCAACTCCACCCCACCACCGCCCAGCACCTCGCAGCCTCGCTCGTTGGCTCCTAGTGTCAGTCCGCTGACCCAGCCATTGTCGCAACAGCAGTCTCCCGCGACTAGCGTCAGCCCCGTCGCCAAACCTACACCTCCTCTGCAGTTGAACACTCTTGGAGGGGGTCCTCTTCTCAAGAACAGGGGAGGTGGAGGACTGACTACCTCAACTGCTGGTGCCCCGCTCAACACCACTGTAGTGAGCACCTCCGCTGACCCAACTACAGCTCTCCCAAATATCAGCTCTACCTCTGCAACTGCCGTTCCTTACTCCAACATGGCAACTTCTGTTTCTCCTGCAATGGGCACCCCTCGAATGCCGTCCGCTTCCTCCACACCTTTCTCTTACAATTCGTACTCTGGAGGTATGACCTCCGTTGCTGCTGGAATGAACTCGCAAGTGGGGATGCAGCCTCAGGCGCCGGGAATGGGAGGTTACCTGCGCCACCCTGGGTCTGGTCAGGTAATGGGTGTCATGCCCGGACAGCAGATGGTACACTCGCCCAATATGATGAGGCAACAACATCGGATGATGACGAGGCAGCGTAAAAAGATGCACCCCGAGGTTCATGGAGGCCCCATGATGAGTACCCACCCCCAGCGGTCTATGGGGCAGAGCGCCGTCCTCCCTCCTCACTCGCACCAAGTCTCGTCACAGATGATGGCTCCTCATATTTTGACTCAGCAACAACAGATGCCGGTGTCCAATCCTACTCCTCAGCAGAGTCACCCCGCCCAACAGCCCTGCCCACCCTCCAAGGGCGTTGTCGGGGAAGAAAGCCCTTTGCCCGGACAGCAGATGGTACACTCGCCCAACATGATGACGCAACAACATCGGATGATGACGAGGCAGCGTAAAAAGATGCACCCCGAGGTTCATGGAGGCCCCATGATGAGTACCCACCCCCAGCGGTCTATGGGTCAGAACGCCGTCCTCCCTCCTCACTCGCACCAAGTCTCGTCACAGATGATGGCTCCTCACATGATGACTCGGCAACAACAGATGCGGTGTCCATCCTACTCTCCTCGCAGAGTCACCCCTCCCAACATCCCTGCCCACCCTCCAAGGTGTCGCCGTGAAGGAAGCCCTTTGCCCGGGCAACAAACTAAGAGGTCCTCAATTCCATATTGCCATGCCCCCTCATCGCACGCCACACACTACTTCACAACAGTCCACCCCTTCTCAGCAGCCTGTTCTTCCTTGGGGTGACCCTCAATCCTCGGTGATGGCACTAGTTAAAGTCCCACCTCGATCGTGCGTTCAGCACATATGAAGCTACAAACGACACAGTTTTCCCTGCCTGGCTCTGCCTGCTTTCCCTCTGAGACATATCTTTCGCACATGTCTAGTTTTCTTTTCTCTCTCTCTCGACAGCAGCAACTCCACAGCCACGCAGACCTGCCACATCCCCAACGGAGATACCACATCATTTGAATGCCCTGCCCACTATAGTACCCTGCCCACTTCCTGAGTCTGCTGGCTCTACAGTGGAGAAGTCCCGTTGCCACTGGGAACAGCATCAACAGTGCGCCAGACCGAAGTTCCCCTCACTGCAGCCCCGCCCTCATCGGATCAGCTTCATCACACAGCAAACTTTGCCCATCCAACTGTCTGGCAGTCCAACCGCCCACACAGAGCATTAGCCAGTCAGGCCCCCTCACCCCCTCCCATCCACTCCCTCCACAGTCAAGTGCAGGTCAACAGCCAATGCTTTCCTCTCTCAGTGGGAAGGGGAATGCCTGGTCAACAACCAACACAACCACAGCAGATCGGCTCCTCCCCTCACGGACCAGGGGGAGGAGTCAACACCTTTGGAGCTCCACCCACCTCAGGAGGACTGGGCGGGGCAAACCAGCCGCGACGATGGACCCGAGAAGCCGGAAGCTGATTCAGCAGCAGCTGGTTCTCCTGCTGCATCCCGCTATTGTCAGCAGAAAGAGAGGGAGCACTCGATGGGGGGAGGTGAGTACCAGCCGTGCTCCGTGCTCACACTGCCAGACCATGAAGAATGTGTTGGATCACATGACTCAGTGCCAGGCAGGCCGACAGTGTACATGTGAGTTCACTACATTTACCCTCAACACAAATGGTTGTTTGCATATAAACTAAACAAAGGTTTTACAGATTGTGTTAAACGTACACTGCGGATAAAAATACGTGTGGAAGCATTATCAGTCCACACGTTGTCTTCTATACACAGATGCTCACTGTGTGTCATCGAGACAGATCATCTCTCATTGGAAGAGCTGCAGAAAGGCCGACTGCCCCATCTGTCTGCCCCTCAGGAACACCGTATTACCACGTAAGTGAGAAGGTACTGTGCATGTTAAAACTATGAGGTAGAAAGGCAAAGGCACAACAAACAAATCAACGCTCTTTGAAAATAAAGAGCTGCCCTAGGTGGGACACTCTGCAGTCTAGGCGAGCGCTCTACCAACTGAGCTACCAGGGCAACTCAGCTGGTAGGGGTTCGAATCTACAACACAACACAAGGCAAACCTCCAACCACTGTGCTATGGCACAGTAAACTCTCACTTAGCATGTAATGGTCGGTGACATACAGTTCAACTGAAAAGAGGTTTTGTGATTTGACTTAACTTTCTTGTCTATTTAGTCAAGCATGCAAAGAAACACTGTTGCCAAAAAGTTGTAGGAACAGCTCTAATTAATGCCCATCGAACTGTTAAGCTCACAAAAATGCACACAATTTTTGTGTCCATCATAATTGGCAAATGGGAGCGAGCTAACCTAGTGGTCCGAACGGCGCGATTCTCTCGATGCCATAATTATGTATATTCAAGATCAGGCACGACATACACCTCGAACCTCGCAAGCAAGCAACACAGGCACGCCTTTGGCAGTGGAGGACTGCTATGCAACAGGCACGAGCAGTAGAGACGCCAGAACAGACAGTTTCAGCTATTTCATGTTGTAGTTTGATAGGTTCTTGAAATGTGCAGCTAAACTCGCGTTTCAGATGCAGTTGTAGGCTCACTGCCGCTTGATGATGTTATTCCCATCTTTAGCTAGTAAACCTGCAGGTCTGTATTTGATCCAGGTCAGTGTAGGTGAATCCCTCCATGTACACCTGCAATCATCTTCACATAACCACCACATACCACCACATGTACAATACCAAGTTCACTGTTAGTGTTGACCTTTAACACCTGCAGCTAGTCTGGGGACGACATCACAGTCCCGTGTCCCATTCCCAGTCTCCATTCCCACCATTCCCACCATTCAGACCCAGCCCTGGCACCAGAGCGTGCAGCCAGAACTAAGACAACACCTCGTCGGGAAATTGTAAGCCCCTTCTTCTTGTTCACCCACTCACTCCGGAGGGTAAAAAATACACCGAGTCCACAACAAGTACGAGAGCATTACTTGAAATTTTGGATGCAGGATTGACATAATCTTGTCTTTGCTATTTGAACACACATGATTTTATGTTCTTTACCCTCTCTGTGCAAACTTTTCAATTTGTGTATCTTTTCCAGCTAACGGTCCCGCCCACCTCCTCATCTCTCCGTGCAGGGTGGAGAACACCGTCCCCATATTTAACCCGCATACCCTCCAGGACCCGCGAGTGAACGGCTACATCCAGTGCGCCATGAAGACGGAGAAGGCCATGTTTGAGATGGCCACCAGTCGCGAGGCCTACTACCAGCTACTGGCAAAGCTTATATACCGCATCAGGAAGAAGCTGGCGGAGAGGAGGAAGATGAGGATGGAGATGGAGAAACAGCGACAACCTATGGGCGAAGGTTCGTCAACTGTTGGTTAGTTTGCCTCAGCTTGTAACTCAAAATGAGGTCATGAATACGCAACGACGGAACCTAACTTTTCACATGTAGAAAATATCATGTGATGCCAAGAGAAAAAAGATGCGGAGCTCTGCACGTAAACACTGCTGCAAAAACAGTGCACACGTGCTTGTGAAATTTTTTCCTCCCTATACAAGCCCTATATTGTTGCGCAGCATGAGTTTGGGGCCTCGTGCAGCTATTAATCATTTCCTAAGCAAATGAAAAGCACTAAAGTGCAAACCCTCGGCGAACTGCGCTTGCGCGATACCGCTAATTGATGGGCTGGGCCGTAGTATGCGCTTACTCGTGGTCTCCCGCTAGTATCACGCGGAGAGTCTGACACGGCACATGCTCTCTATGCTCACAATATTCTTATTTTTTCTGGAGGAAGCCAAGATACCTTGCAACTG